GAAAACTGAAGTATAAAAAGTGGGGTTATGACCTTCAAGGAGTTCAGACATAGGCTATACAAAATATTTCCAGGCCTGTCAACTTTTCCAGAGATTTCAGGGATTGAATTCAGTTCTCAAATTGCAGTTCCCTGAGAAAAGAGGGATTCAATGGTAAGATAAAGCCAATGCATTTAGCCCTGTTTAACATCATTTTATAGCTTGTTTTCAAAAAATGCATTTGATAAACAAAAGACAATTAAATTTGATTCTCCACGATAAAAGTAGGAGATGGAAGCTCACCAAGCAAATATCAAGCAAGAAAAGAGTGCCTTATCAATATCACCAATGCCATTTCCCTCTATTATATAAAGTGAAACATAGCACTGAGAAAATAAATATTTGACGAAATTTGAAACTATAGATTGGAAATTATATCCCTTACTTAAAAGTATAAAAAAAGCTTAAACATTGTCAAAATCGATGTATGAAAATTGGTCAGTCAATGCTTTCCAGCAGGAGAAAAAAGTTCTCCAGAGGGAATTTGATGCCTAGTTTTAATAAGCTCAAAGAGAACAAATGTCTTAACATAGGAAACTTTTGGTCAGCAAAAGTACTGCAATAAGATCCTCAAACCGGAAACTTCCCAATACATTATATTCAACCTTGATTCTTTAGCAAACCAACCTGTTTAGTCCTTTTGAGTAAATATTCTCCTGCTTTTATCCCTCCTCTCTTCCATATTTGTTCTAATTAAGGTAGAAATTTGAAACTGTGATCGAAAAGAAAACAAAGTGCCTTAGTAAAAAAAAAAAAAAAAAAATTGTATAAAGATTATCAAATGATTAATCTATGAAAGATTGAGTTAAGACCTTTAAGAGGTATGGACATCTATCATAGAAGATATTTATAAGATGATAGAAAGTTCTGTAGATGAAATTTGATGCCTTGATTCAGTAACTTTTAAGCCCTTAAAGGAAATGCAAAAACCACCTCATTCCACCAACATCTGTCATATAATTTACTGCATCAAAACTACCATATAAAGGTCAAGTTTTATTTAGAAGTAAATGACATTTTAAATTTTAAACATGCTTGATGCATAAAAATTCAGAAAAAAAACCTCAATGAACCATAGACGCAATTCATATGGGGAATTCAGTGCAACTGAAGAAGCTCCCTAGCATAAGAGAAAGGTATTGACAGTTATTTAACGAACTTGTTCAACATCAATCGAAAAATGAATCTTTACTTTATGTGTTTTTCTCACTATCTAGATTTAAAATACACCCTCTTAAATCTTAACGTTTCACTGGATGAAAGTAAAATATAGTGTGTGTGCATAGATAAAAGTTAAATTTCTTAAACACTTCAAAAGAAAAGAGCAGTTAACAAGAATATGATTAAATCTTCCATTTAAACTCTTAATTCCTTGTCTTGAATCTCGATCAATTCATCATTCCATGAACATTTGATACAAAAGCACAATGTGACATAAAAAATTACACTACTATTTACAGGAATACAACTGACATTGATGGTGCTAATACTTAACAACAACTTGGGTATTGTCAATAACAACTAGTTCTTTTCAAGAAGCAAGAAGGAGATAGAAACATACACTAGATGTACTGACCAAGAAAATGTGAAATCCAAAAGAGGTAGCACTGGTTTCATCGGGCAAATTTGCATTCTGTTACAAGTGTCCCAGAGAAATTTCTGACATTGAACGATAATTATTATTCGTCCTTAATTCATTGCTTTTCCCTTGCCTCAGCGAATCAGTTACAGAATTTGGAAATTCTCAGCTTAGGTAGACAACTGGTTAATCAGTTCTGCACATTAAACAAAATCAGAAACCCGAGGCTGTGATGAGCTTTCTATTTAAATAGTGACAAAGCAAAACAAACCATCAACTGAGACTGAGTTCTTTCAACCACTCTCCTAATGCCACTCTTCACCTTTTCCATAATGCAAAATGCTGCACAGATCAGACAACAAATATTTTTGATTAAATTTGAAACCATAAATAGAATATTACATGCCTTAGTATAAAAGAAAGAAAGCACCTAAAAATTATCAGAAAATTGATGTAAAGAAAGTGGGGTTATGACTTTTCTAGCCTTAGTATAATAGAAGGACAAATTTTTCCAGCACGATATAAAGTTCTGCAACGGGAATCTGATCCCTGGTTTCAGTAAGTTCAAAGAAAACAAATGTCTTAATATATGCAAAACTTCGTCAAGAAAGGGAATGCAACAAGTATCTCAATCTGACTTCTTTTTCAAGATGAAAGTAGGAGATAGAAATAAACAGTCTGAAATGCTAGCTTGCCAAGTGAATGTTGAAGACTAGGGATTGAACACTTGCTTCATCTGGTAAATTTTCTTTTTTGTTGCAAGTGCCTCAATCAAGTTTTCTTCGGTGAATGATGTAATTCTCCCCTCCATTCCTACGGCCTCAAATCTTTAATAGAAATTTGAAATTATCAGCATAGTCAGCAACAATCAAAGAAATAACAGAACCAGTTACAAAATGATTTGATGGGCTTTCCAATTAAGCATAAAGAATTAAAGAAGGAACAGAGAAAAACATTGAGAAAGCATAACCAACAATTAATAGAGTTCTTTTGGCTACTCTCCGAGAACCACTCTTCCTCTCTTCAAAGTTCCAGAGTTTGGTTTTGGAGAATGCTCTGTTTCAAGTATCTATTATCAATAACAATTTGTTCTATGCAAGAAGTATGCAGGAGATACAAATGTGGATCAGTTGGAAATGCTAATAACAGGATTGAGCTCTTGTTTCATCTTGCAGAGTTTTCTTACATAAATGAGATAAATTGGTTCTGCATTTTTATGACCTCCAGTATTTACTCTGACGATCTCTTCCAGACTTACATTAAAGAAATAAACATAATACTGTGATATGCTTCCTAACTAGAAATCAAGAAACAAAGAAAGAACAGAAAGCAGCATTGAGAAAGCTGAAATATGAAACTATAAATTGAAAATTATAGGAAGGCTTTTAGTTAAAATTAAAAAAGAGATTAAACAGTACCAGAAAATTGATGTATGAAAGTGGGATTATGACAAGAAGCACGGAGACATTAGATATTCCTGGCCTGTCACTGTTTTCCAGCATGATACGAAGTTTTTCTGTTGATCAAATTTGATCCCTGGTTTTAATAAGCTCAAACAGAACTAATTTCTTAATATAGGTAACAATTTGATCAAGAAAAAGAATGCAACAAGAACCAAGAAAACATTAACAATTGATGACAAACCTTGATTCTTAAACTTCTTAATGCATCATAATAAAACCTTGATTCTTCAGCAATCTCATGACATCTTAAACTTCCCTTTCTCTGCATCAAAATGAACATTTCAAAATCAAGTTTAAATAGCTAAAGAAAACAGGGCTTTTCAATGTCCCTGCTAAGTAGAGAGATAACCAAGGACACAAACCTATCTCAACGAGTCACCAAAGGATTTCATAGAGAGAACCCACTGTAATTTGAGAAGGTCCCTAAAAAAGAACTCCAACAGTTCTATACAAATATTAAAGAATCTACAGTCCCATTAATAATGGTGTGATGTACTTTCTAGTTTAAACATGAAGAAAAAATAGACAAGTAAAAAGAGCATAATGGTGTGATGTACTATCCTACATTTACCCTTCCTCTCTTCCATATTTGTTCTAAGGCAGATATTTGGAACTGTGATCAAATAGAGATTTGCATGCCTTCGTATAAAGGAAAAAAGATCATGACATTAACATTATCAGATGATGAAAAGTATGAATGACAGGTGATAATGCTAATTCAAGAATCACAAATAAAGAAATGAAAAGTAAATTATTATCAACTAATTGATTTATGGAGTTATGAAGGTTAAACAGATGAAATTTGATGCCTTGTTTCAATATCTTAAAAGCTATTCTGAAAACTAGATTGACCATGATAAAATACTTCAATAGCCTTGAAAATACTTCAAATTTCAAAACATTAATTGGTGATAAAAGAAAACAAAGTGTGTATTTGAATAAACCATAAACTTCTCAAAGACATCTTAGCAGGTATTGGAAATTGTTTTTAAAAATAAAGTGCTTTTCAAAGACTGTACAACATCTGACCTCATCAGGTTGTCTTCAACATCTTCTCCTCGTCATAAAAGACTAGTGATGATGGACGGCCACGATTGTACAGAAGAGTAACATTGAGATTATGTTAAACAGCATACTTAATATATAAGAACTAGTGACGATGGTCGTCCTCTCTTCCATGCCGCAAAATGCATGTATCCCTGGAACAGTAAATATTTTGATGAAATATGAAACCTTAAATAGAAAAAATTTACATGTCTTCGTTAAAAGGAATTAAAAAAAAAAAAAGGCACGTACTTAACTGAATTCCTCTTACTACTCTCTTAACACCCATTATTTCCTTCTTCCAGAAGACAAAATGCTGCATTGAAGCTGTAAATAGAAGAGCATTACATGCCTTAGTATAAATTAATTAATATATTTAAGATATTTATTTTTAAAAATAAATTAATCTTTACTACGAGTCACCAAGAAAAATATTAAACAAGGCCCATGTATCTTATTTTGTATTAATGGGTCAATCCATTCTTTAACAATCAAATTAAATGTTAAAAGGTCAGTTTTACAATATATATATATAAATTTTGATGAAATAAAATTAATTTTATAAAACTAAAAACAAGTGGAGTTACCTGACCTCAGGAGAGGAGACCAACCTCTTTCATTTCAATGTAAAGATAATGAAATGAAAAGTCAACAAATAATGTGAATATAATTAGTCAATTAACTTGGGAAGTAAAAATTGGCAGCCATATATTATATTTATTAATTGTTGAATTGGACCATTAACTTAAACAGATGAAATTTGATGCCTTTTTTCAATATCTTAAAATTGAAGTTGAATATTCAATCAGAAATTGGATGGAACAAGTACATTTATTTAAACAAAAATAAAATATTACCTCTAATTTTCCCCTTCATCAATCATAGCGTAGCAGGGGACATTCATAAATATCTTTTTTCAATGTTGTATTCTGAACAAGGTGGTTTGATAGTGCCTTCAATTTGGGGCAGCATTCAATTTGCAAGGAAACCAGAGATGGCATTATTGTAATCTCATAATCCCACTCTTTCCATTCTTCCATATCACTAAACTCAATTGTAATATCATCATCTTCTTCTCCCTTTCTTATAATCTTATAATTCCATTCTTCCCATTCATCCATATTATAGAAACCGAGATTTTTCAATTTGGGAAAGAAAATAAATGATGAAGATGTGCTATCACTTTCTATTCCCAAAAATTCATTGCTCACTCTTTTCATACTCTTCATCCTCCATATTGATAACGATTCAAGGGATGACAATTTTCCCAAGGGAGGCAAATGCTTACAGTTTTTGCATTCATAGAGCTTTAATTCCTTGAGCTTGGTTAAGGACATCATCCGGTGGAACAAAATAGTGTTGCCTTTGTAATTTTCTAGGCATAACTTCTCCAAATTTAAAGGTTGTTTTAATTTTTCAAGAAGTGTTTCATCATCCTCATTTGTCCTCTCTCCTTCATCTTTTCTGAAATCCAGATGCAAAATAAGAAGGTATTTCAAACCTTTAAGGTTGCATGCTTTATTATCATTACCAACAACGAATGACGTTAAGTTTCGGAGATTAGTCAATCTTTGAATTCCTATTGGCATGTATCTTAATGACCAGACCCTATCATTTTCTATATGCCTTAGGTTTATTAATTTTCCAATCCCTTGAGGTAATTCTTCCAGATTTATACAATTACTAATGTCTAAAGTTTGCAAATTATATAGTCCACATAATTCTTCAGGAAGTTTTCTCATTTCTAGATTTTTCAAATCAAGATATCTCAAATGTATCAATTTTCCTATCTCCTTCGGAATGTTGTGAATATCATTTCCACCAATACTTAATGCCTTTAAGCATGTCAATTCACCAAATAATTTTGGTAACATATTAGGAGCCAATGGACCCGAGGAATCGTCAAAATTATATAGGAAACTGCGAATCCTTTTGAGACTAAGAATGGAATCGGGAAATGAACCGTTTCTATGAATTGTTACCATCACGTGACAAACTTGCTCATGATAAGAAGAGTTTATGATTGGATCCTTAAGACCATCAACTTCTATCGAGATACACTCATTCTTACTCAGGAATTGGGCAAAGTCATGCACTAAATCATGCATTTTACATCCATAGATATTATTGTCATCATCTTTTTCAAACTGTTGAAAGAATGAGCGTGACACTAAGTAGTCAAAATACTCTTGACCAACTAACTCCATCACCTTATTTTCATATTCTTTTAGATAACCATGTGCCATCCATAATTTAATCAAATAATCTTTATCTATTCTATAATCCTTAGGGAAGATGGCATAATATACGAAACATCGTTTTATCATAGAAGGCAAATCATTATAACTCAATAATAATGGTCGAAAAATATCCTTTTCTAATTCTTCAAGTTTCCATAATTCACTATCTAGGATACTTTGCCACTCTTCCCTATGTTTCTTAAAGCGTAAAAGACTCCCTATAGTCTTTACAGCAACAGGCAAACCCTTGCACTTACTTAAAATTTGTCTGCCAGTCTTTTCAAATTTTTGACACTCCTTTTGAGACATACCGAAAAATGCTAATCGCCTAAACAACAACCAACATTCTTCTTCAGGCAACTCCTTAACATTGATACTATCAACTGATCCCATCATACGTGCAACCGAATCCTTACGTGTGGTAATTAAAATTTTACTTCCATTGAGACCATTCTTCAAGCAATGATACAATGGTTCCATTTTTTGTAATCCTCATTCCACACATCATCTAAGACCAAAAGAAATTTTTTTTCCTTAATAAATCTATTAATATGTCCAAGAAGTGAATTTAATTCTCTTAAATCTGGAGTAGAATCCTCTAAATCCTTAATGATTGCTTTAGCAATCCTATACTCATCGAAAGGCTCAGATACACATACCCACATCCTATAGTCAAAACTATTTACTACCTTATTATCGTTATAAACAAATTGAGCCAGAGTTGTTTTACCAATTCCTCCCATCCCTATAATAGAGATGATAGGAAGGTGTTGTTCACTACTTTCACACAACTTACGTACTAAAATACTCTTGTCATCGACTCGACCACATATCTCAGACACATCAATAAATGAGGTACTTTGTACTCGTTCAAACTTTTCAACACTTCTAATTTTGTTAAAAGTATACATATCTTTTTGTTTCGCAATGACATCTAGATTTTCAGTTACTTCTTTTATCTTCATTGCAATGTCATGACGTAAAATAACTTGAGGTAAACTAACTTGTTTGAATGAAAAGCAAGAGGAGGGAAAGAAGAAACGCACCTTCTTCTTAGGAACATCAGCATATTCAACTTCCTCAATTTGCTGTTTCAACATTGCATAGTTCCACTCATCCAACACATCTTCAATGTCGTAGGATGCGTGTTTGAGCCGATCTAACCAAAGTCTTACAGTTTTCTCCTTGACTTGTCTTTCCTCCGCATCAATGAGCACAGCTTCAATAGCTTCAAGATTGCTCCTCAGCTTTTTGACTTCTTTGTCGACACCAACAATTAGCTTCACCTCCTGCTTTATTTCATCACCAATGATTGAACTCAGTTGTCCCAAGACACCAGAAACAATTGCATCAGCCATGATATCAGAGATGGCAAGTGTTTGAATTGTAAGATATTAGATTTGATTGTAAGTTTGAAAATGATTATATGCTTTCAATTCTTTATAAAAAATTGTAATTGAAAGAAGGAACATAAAAGATGATGAGAACCGAATATGCTTGGCCCAACACTTTCATTTTCTCAATCACCAAGCAATCGGCAATGTGATGCTTTTAAGGTGGTTAAGGCATAGAATGTAGCTTGATTTCTCCAAGCTATTCCCAACAAGTTTCTTTTTGGTATAAGGTTTTTCTTTTACTCAATTTCGTTGCTTTGTTCTTGTCCCATTTCTCAAACCAAGAATCTGATGCAAGAGTAGAAAGCAAGTAAAGGGAGATCAAAAGAAAAAGATTAAATCTGATTGCAAAAGGATTTGATTTATGATTTAGGATGAATATGAACATTCACAGAAAGAGTTGGATTGGATTTCCTTCAGGCCATTAACTATGACCCAAATAGCTTAATTCTCAAGTGCCAAATCTTTACATATATACATTGATCTATATATAGAAAATTACATGCCATAGTTACATAAATATTCACGTCCAATAAATGAATAAAAAAATAAAAAATCAATCAATTTTGTCAAACATTCTCTCAAAATTTAAGTCTTTTAGGGTAAGCTTTAACTTTAATATATCATTAATATTTTACTTATAACTAGTTGTAACTGAGTCATACAAATAGACAAAAATTACATATAATTTATGTAAAATGATTAATTTATCATTTGTTTTTTATTTGTTTGTATGACTCAATTGTACAATTCAGTTTTAAGCGTATCATTGCTTTAATATATTTATTTTTAAAATTAATTAACTCCCCAAATATTGATCTCTACTACAAGTCACCAAGAAAAATATTTCACAAGGCCCATGTACCTTATCTATTCTTTATCTATTAAATTAAACATTAAAAGGTCAATTTTAAAATACGTATATAATTTATTTATTCTATATTTCTAAATAACCAATAAGAAAAATTTTCTATCGATAAACTAGATTTAAATAGATATGATAATGTAAAATTGTTTAATATTATACTCGACTCAAAGTGACTACTTTAGTTTATTTGATTTCTTGTATTTTAAAAATATTTTTTGATTATTATGATTATGGGATTATTATATAAGGAAATAAAATTGAAGAGCATTAATATATATATATTATCTGGAACAATTAAGGGGAGACTATATAATTGAAACAATAATGTTTTATTTACAACTGAATTATACAATTGAATCATATAAACAGAAAAAAATTACATAAAATTCATATAAGCTCTAATGGAAATTCATACAATTGTAGAGCATTAATAATTACATAAAATAACTACTCTATCTTTTGTTTTTGGTCAGATTGTATGATCCAGTAATAAACCCTAACGGAAATGTATTACCCTTGTGTGGAAGTTGTGGTTTCTTTCCTGATTGGCCCTTATTGCTGGTTTCGTCTGGTTGGCCATCTCTCGGCTGGACCATTCCTGTGTGTATTTCTTGGGTGGGTTGCTTGGAGTGCCATTTCCTATAGTTGGGCTGGATGTCGGCTTTGGTGTGATCTTGGTGGGCTTGATGACTGCATTTGTTTAGCTATTAGAGCTTAGTTTTTGCAAAGGCCTAGTTTTAGTTTGGGTTTTTTTTTGTATAGGATTATTTATCCTTTTGTCTCTTGTTCTTTTTGTTGAGCATGGGCCTGTCCAAGTTTTAGCTTGAAGGGGAGTCTTCTCTCAAAGTGTGTTTTCTTTTTTTCTTTTTATACAATAACCCGATTTACCAAAATAAATAAATAAATATATAGCAATTTTTCATGAAAAGAAGACTAAAAAGATAACAATATACAAGAAACTAGATGAGGTAATTTAAAAAAAAAAATTGACCCTTATTTTCATAATTTTCGATAAAAACAATTTTCTCTGAATTTTCGTCTCTTATATTTAGTTGATAATAGTGAATCGATAATCAATCAAATAACAAATAGTAAATAGGATAAATTAATTATTTGTTGTAAATATTATTATTATGAGTTAAATACCCTAAAATAACAAATTAAAAGTTCGTACGATTTCCCCTTCATCTACAAGTTAAATAAAGGGACACTAGGTAAGGAATTTGTTCTAGTAATTCAATTTCTCTTCTATTTATGTATCATAGATCACTCGGGTGTTTTCTAATCCTACCCACTCTTTAATTTTTGTACTTGTTGTATCACATAAACTAAGAATTGAAAATCCATCTCAAAGAAAGAGATAATTGGTTGGTATTCATTATTCTTTGATTTGATGCATTTTTTAATGTTTTGATAAAAAGTAATTGTATAGAAAGAATGAAACAAATACAACCTATAAGAAGGGACCCCTTTCAATCTAAATAAACATCTTGGATCGGCCCAAGTGCTCAACAATAAGTCGAGAGACATAAGGATATACAATCCTTTACAATCAAAGCCCATAACAAAAACCAGACGTGGACACAAAGAAAGTCAAAAAGCTATACAAGCTACAAGTAACAAGCCCAAAAGGAATTCTCCACGTTCAGCCCATGGTCAACGAGAAGGGACAGCTCGTCGTTCTAAGCCGACCTCCAAAACTTGGTCCAATTGAGAGTCCAAGACTGCCCGACATTGCACTTGCAAGAGTCCCAACACCAGATCCACCTATCCCAACAACAAATCATAAACATCAACACCAAAGACTACCCATCCAAACAATGTTCCATTAGCTGACTATACACTTCAATACACTGCCCACTTTCAAAAACTTCTATCCATCCAGAAAAAAAGAGTTGTCATGAAAAGTGTGGGGTCTGCTCCATCAGCTGAGGACAACAAGCTTCAAGGGTAAGGTGATTTGTTGATGCTTGATTTTAATACCAACTACTCGCTCGTGCGAAATGCTAAGGAGACTTTGAAGTCACACGTGATATGAGGGTATTGAATTTAATAAAGGGCGAAAGGCAATGTTTAAAGTGGTTCAGATACTTAAAAGCGAATCCTACATCCACTGTTATTGTATTGATAAGAGGATAGAGGTCAGGTCGCGTTCAGCAAGTTGAGCTACCGTTTAGAGAGAATACAAGAGAGAGAGAGAGAGAGAGAGAGAGAGAGAGTAAGCTATTTTAGAGTAAAAATTAGTCAATCTCGCAAATGAGAGGGAAGACCTCTATTTATAATGGGATAAACCAAGGTAATGATTATTAAATCTGCAAATGGGTGGGTACCGTGCAAATCCTTCTCTACGTCCCATTGCTCACCTGCCCGAGTGATTTCCTCGACTTATGCAGGGTTTGGACACGTGGACGATTTCCAACCATCTGCTAACCTGGCACTCACCCACTACACTGACAGGAGCTTGCCACTTACGCCATTACGTGACGTGGCTGCGTCTGAACGGTCGTAGATCCTTCCCAAGTTCTGACCACCCCACGCTGACAAGGTTCCACGTCAGCCCTGCCTTTTTAGGCAGAACATGATTAATTCAAAGAAAAGCAATTTTCCAGCCCCACTCCTTAAGGTCAAATAAAGTCAGCAAAGAAAAAAAAAACCAAAAAACAGCAATTTTCCCCCTCCTACATAATCCATCTAACACCTCCCTTAAGCCATAGCTAATTAATCCTTCCCCTAGATAAGAAAAAACTGGATTATTGCGAACATTCCAATCCCAAAACTCTCCTGCCAAAATACTTAATAACAACCAGCATTTACTGTACACATCCAAAAACAATTGAAGTGCTACAAACACCAAACAATCAGTAAGGACTTTGTTGATGCTTGATTTTGACACCAACAACTTCATACATGTAAAGTGCTAAGAAGTCACACGTGAGCTAATTATAGTGAATGGGTGAGATACTATTTGCATAGTAACATGAAAAGACGTAAACAATAAAAGAGATAGTAAGATTTTTATAGTGGTTTAGATACTTAAAGCGAATCCTACATTCATTGTGTTTTTATATTAATTTATTCCTGGTCGTTAGACAGGATTACAAGAGGTCGTGAATTGCCATCTAGTATATATTACAAGTGCTTGGTGTTCTAAGTGTTCTTAGAGAATGTCAAACCAATCTCTTTCTAGTAGTATGTCTATGGTATTTTCTTTGTTGAATTCAAGAGTGCCTGATCTTGATTTTGTGACGGGGAGTGCCTATTTATATCTATTGTGCTCAAGGTAATGATTACACTTTTGTAAGTGGCTTGATGTCGTGCAAATTTCTCATATCTTCCCATTCGTTGAGAACTCAAAGAATATCCTTAAATTAAATTAGGCTTAAATAAGTGTGCAAACCAAATTCATTCACAGACAAATTCTTGAGTCGGTTAAGTTGTTGACAGCTACATTCCATCTGTCTTTGGAGACATGGCATATTTTGGGTGGTGAAATGCTTTCTTGAACTTTGATTGGTATTTAATGATGTCAGCATAGATCAGCCCTTATTTTAGGCATATAGACTTCAGAAAAGAGACTGTCCTTTACGATAATGAGCATTGTTTTGTGTTAATAACACATGGTAATCTGTTGGTGATGAACTCTTCTCGCTTTCTTATGTGCAATCTTACATGAATCTTATTGAAATGGTAGCATCCAGTAAGAGAGCAATACTTCCCTGGAAAAAGAATTCTTCTCGTCAAGGCTGCCCAATCCAACCTCTGCAGAGGGAGGTTAATAATCAGCCAGCCAAATCTTGGGCAAATGAAGCAGCTAGAGAGGATTGAATGCCGCAGAATCAGAATGAAACCTGCACAAAAGAAAATGTTAGAAGTAAATCGAGACTTCCCACTATTAACAATTTGTTCACATTCCACAACTCTCTCATCAACAAGCTTCCAATCATGTCCACCCAGCAGCTCCAGGAAATGAGGTTCACAAGTAAGAATCTCCACCAGTATAGGATCCATCTGTTCCAAACAATCAACAATATACATTTTCTCCTGCTGCAGAACCAAATAAGGAGAGATTGTCCTTGTTTGATACTGCACCACGAGT